GTTAGAGACGCTCTCGACATTTAACCTTTAATACCCTGTGAACGACCTCGATTCAGGTAAAAAGATTGCTATCTCCCATCCCTAATGCACGGAACAACGCCGGCATGAAACATTAATGATATATTATAGTTAGACGAGTCGAAATTTCTGATTTTAGCTAATGTTCAAAGTTCACGGTTATATTGTTGAGGTTTAGCATTTAGAAGGAAGGACTAGAGCTAACCTACTTGTTTATTGTCATTCAAAAAACTTGAAAAAGTGTGTTATATACGTGCTCAATAACTTGTAACTAGCTGTACCGGCAATCGTTGTTTTGTCATATAAATTAAAATCGCTATTAAAAAATATGGGTTGAGGCTAGACGGGGGAAAAATTTAGGGTTGTATGTATTTTTTAATGATACATAATAAAAAAATATAAATAAAAAATGTTGCTCAATGAATTAAAAAAAAATGTTGGGGTGGACAACCCTTATCACTTAGGGGTATGAAAAATAGATAGTAGCCGATTCTCAGACCAACTGAATATACATATAAAATTTTTTAAAATCGATCAAGTCGTTTGGGAGGAGTATGGTAACTAACATATCACTTAGGGGTATGAAAAATATATAGTAGCCGATTCTCAGACCAACTGAATATACATATAATTTTTTTTTAAAATCGATCAAGTCGTTTGGTAGGAGTATGGTAACTAACATTGTGACACGAGAATCTTACATATAAGATTAAAATAGAATAGAAATAACTTTAATCAAACCAAATCGTAAATCATTTATGGAAATTTTAGCCAAGTGGGTACAACATAAGGCATGTACCGAAAATCCTTTATTTAAATCAAAAATAATTTATTCAGGACATTTTATCTAAACGGCTACATCATAAGCATGTACAACAAGCTTTTTGTATTTTTTTTACCGTCCAGTTCAGTATACACTTTTCATTGAGAAAAGGCAAGAGTCAACAGATTTTTTTAAAATCTAGGGTATTTTATTGTACACTTATATGTATGTTTAACATTAAATGAAAATGTAAATACAGGGGTCCGAATATGATTTTGTCCCATTCGGTGTCGAGACCCTTGGTCCGTGGGGTCCTAACGCTATAAGACTTTTCAAAGAAATAACGAAAAGGTTAGTCGACATCACAGAAGACCGAAGAGCTGGCAGCTACCTCGGACAAAGAATTAGTCTAGCTATTCAAAGAGGGAACGCTGCCAGTATCTGCGGAACTTTGCCTAAAGGGACTCCTATTAATAATATATTTTAGTTATTATATTATATTTTTTAAGCTTTTTAATTTGAGGTTCTTAGTTGTACAATGAAAATCACATACGACTATTGTCATGCACTTTTGTCATAATAAAATAATGTTAATTCGGGCGATTAGGAAAGCTGTGTCATCACAAGAAGAACTACTCTTATAAATAAACGTTTGTAGATGGAATACAAATCATTACACAAGATTAATTCTCATTTTTAAACCGATTCAAAAAATGGATTAGGTTCTTAATTCTACTGTATTTTTATGTGTTACTTTAGAAGTTTGTTGTAGGTGAACCGATTTTGAATATTTCTTTTTTGCATACAATTGCTTCTCATGTTTATAGGTGACACTTACCGCTTCTATCAGACATAAGCATGTTTACCATTGTAATTACAAATAGAAACAGGCATATATCACTATATAGTATAAAATAAAGTCGCTGTCGCTGTCTTTCCGTCCCTATGTAGATATGCTCAAATATTTAAAACTACGCAACGAATTTTGAATTTTTTTTTTTTATTTACGAAGTGATTTTAAACAATACAACATTATTTTTTATCTAATTAAGTACAACGTTTTGTATATATCAATACGGGCCTTTACAGCATGTATTATAATTTAAATTAATACTTTCGAAGATATATTTTTAATACAGATTTAAAATGCAGGGATCGCAGGGTCAAACATTCAACGTTGCGAGCTTAGATTTAAGCGTTGAGTATTTTTTTCATATGACGTATTGTCTAAGTATATAAAAGCTGTAAACGTTTTATAAGGACATTCTATAGTAGGTAGGTATATTTTATATTTAGTATAAGTATTGTACCCGTGCAAAGCCGGGGCGCGTCGCTAGTAGATATAGATAGATAGATAACAATGTTTATTCGTATCCAGATAACACGAGTACAAACAAAATTGAATTGACAAGTGTAAGAAAATAACACATAAGAATAATAATAATAAAAAAAACACAACGTATTAACTTACACATAAAATAAAAACATAAAATAAACATTAAAATATATATTAGGTGCCACAGGGATACGAAAGTCTTGAGCTACTTAGTGAACAGTTTGCTCAACGAGCAAAACACTGATTTTCTACTGAAAAATCGCTCTACCGCTGGGCTGCAGTAGCAGCAGTGGAGGGATCGCGTGCAGCGACATATTCACTTAACAATCTTAATGTTACCAAAATTTTATTGAAAAATTAAAAAATTTTGTTGAACTCATCCTTAATTAAAATAATAGAAAAGAAACGATATATCAATTTATATATATAAAACAGAGGAGAGAATTGATCAAGCAAAATTCATCTTCTAATATTCAACAATCTTCTATTATATATTGCACTTAAATATAACAGTTATATAATTAAAACTAGCTTTTGCCCTCGGCTTCGCTTGCGTTAATTAATTAATTTAGAGGTGGAATTTATCAAAATTATTTCTTAGAGAATATCTACGTCATAGTAGCTTTATGCATGCAAAGTCTCAGTCCGATCGGTTTAAAATTGACAGTTTCATACAAACTTTCATCCCCTATTTTGTCTTCTTGGGGGTAGAATTAATCAAAATCCTTTCTTAGCGGATGCCTACGTCATAACATCTACCTGCATCCCAAATTTCAGCTCGATCCGTCCAGTGGTTTGGGCTGTGCGTTGATAGATATTAGATAGTCAGTCACCTTTGAGTTATATATATTTAGATAACGTCTACGTCATACAAATATTTCCCTGTATTTTGACACAAATATCTTCATGATATTACCTATTTCCGCGTACAGCACACTTCCTTCCCTTTTATTCTATCATGATATTATATAATCTATACATATAAATAAAATTTGAGTGTCTGTTTGTAATATTGAAATGACCGTTTTTTACTACATGCATATGGATATAAATACGATACAAACACTAAAATATCATTTTTTACAATTTTTGTCTGTCCATCTGTTTGTTCCGGCTAATCTCTAAAATGGCTGGACCTATTTTGACAGGTAGCTGATGTAATAAGGAGTCACTTAGGCTACTTTTATGCTAGAAAAGTAAAGTTAAATTCCACGAGGACGAAGTCGCGGGTGTATCTAGTATTACATAAGCTAACATTAGGGGCCGATTATATTTCGCATAAGACGAAACCAAAGTTTTTTTTATGGATGATAATGGAATGGTACATACGCCTGCGCTAACGGTTCACGCTGGCGGGGCTCCAGTGGAGGATGATGAGATGAGCACGAACCCAGGTCAGTTCGCCCATCTTGACAAATTCACAAAGAAGTTATCACGATGGTTTCGAGGGGGCACCGCGTGGATCAATAGTCCACATTACTAACAATTCCTTCCCCCCTCCCCACAGAACCACAGTTATATCTACGAATATTGGCATCGCCATAATATATATCATAACTAACATATAATATATATAATAGCATAACATAACTTAATATAAAATAAAGTCGCTGTCGCTGTCTGTCCGTCCCTATATATGCTTAAATCTTTAAAACTATGCAACGGATTTTTAAGCAGTTTTCTTAATAGATAGAGTGATTCAAGAGGATGGTTTATATATATATAATACATGTACACCCGTGCAGAGTCGGGGCGAGTAGCTAGTTAACGAATAAAAATAAAATATAACGACGGCCTCGGTGGTCTAGCGGTTTAGCACACCCGACGGTCGCGGGTTCGATTCCTCAACCTCATTCCATCTGATCTCTAAGCTCAATATATATAGTTATAAAATTCACGATACAATATAAACTTTTGAGGGTGGAAAATATTAATTTACCGCTTGCATATTGAAATTATATATTCTAGTTGTTTAAAACTCAAGTAGAGTTAACCAACCGCAGTGTCGCAGCAACGTCACAAGCTTTTATTGAATGTCGCAAACTCTCGTATTGCATCGACAATTCGTTAGTTCTAATTTTCCATCTATTAGAGGAAATAATTTTGTGAAAATGTTCAATACCTTATGTTTGACGACCTCGGTGGTCTAGCGGTCTAGTCTACCGCTTTACGACCGATGGTCACGGGTTCGATTCCTCGCACGGCACAAACGTTTGTATTCATGAGTATGATTGTTTGTATCGGTCTGGGTATTTTCTATGTATAATATGTATGTATTTACGAAAAAAAAATATCTATGTATTTGTATCAGTTGTCTAGGACCCATAACACAAGCTTTAGCTAGCTTAACTTGGGTCTAGATGGCGCTGTGTGAATTGTCGTGAGATTATAAAAAAAAAATACGCCACATGTGATTTTAATAATTAATAGGCCTTCACTCATCGCTACGACTGATTTACTCTCATTTAGTAACTCAACCGTTTGGTTGTGTATTTTGACTTTAATCAATTAGTGGTAGTCGGTAGTTTGTATTCACACATTTTAATTTAAAAATCTAAAGGTACAATAATTATTTAAAAGAGCAATACACATATATACGCAAGCTTATTTTTAAGAAGTTTTTAATTCTTCTCCAATTTTTTTTTATTTATCCGTAATGGAAAGGCAAAGAGTCTTAAGCCCATACAGCCTTTGTCTTTGGTATCATTTCAAGAGACAGGTTTCCGAATGAGTGATAAATTAAAAAAAAAAACACTATGACTATTCAAAAGTGATTATATTATGTTTATTTGAATAAAGTATTTCCTATTCTATTCTATTCTATTACGGTCTACTGTGTTAATGGCGTGTTTATATTGTATTATACGTAATGTTTTTGTCCAGGCACTGATCGGACACTCCGGCCACGTGTTGTCACTGTACAACTGGGGTGGTGCGATGTTCGTGTCAGGAAGTCAGGACAAAACTGTACGCTTCTGGGATCTGCGTACCGGCGGCTGTGTGAACATCATAGGACCATCGCCCAGACAGTCCAACAAAGTAAGTTAATAATTATATTATCTATTTCTATTTTTATAGAGCGCTACCTACCAATTTGTCTGTAAGAGACTGCTTCGATAGGGCAGCATTTAGTTTAGCACACTTTTGTAAATATATTTCTGTGAACACAATATAGGAGTATCACAATATTAATACGTTAAGCAAACATTTTGTACTCCTTTTTACGAAAATTGCGCGGAAACGAGTATGAAATTTCACACAGTTTTAATTTATATATAAATGAAGAAGTGATGACTGCTGATATATTTTTTTAATTATGCCTAAATTAATAGAAAAATACAATACACGCTGTTAGCTGTATGATTATAGGGGCTTTATTTATATGCCAGTCTGGTTGTATATAGGTTTATTCTAATAAAAGTAATTTACAGACAGATAAAGTAATGTAGAACGGTATAAAAGAAGTACAATAATTGTTAAGAATGTTTGCAGAAGAAGCCATATGTAGTTTGTTTTTTCCCGCGCAAATGCAACTCGCCACAGATGCACAAATGTTGCACGGTGCGCAGATGCAATAGCATTACGAGCACGTTATGGCAGTATGTATACTGCGAGTATGATACTGTGAGTATTCACATACGCAATGTTTATTGTTAAAGTCTGGTCTTGATAATAGATTAATATTGTTTGCCTTTAATAATATTTGTCCAATACAATTTCAAAATCTAATTAAAAAATCAATTATTCATGTAGTATATTTTAGCCGCTTATGAAAGTCAAATATTTTATGTTATAATTTTATTGCCACCGTCCAGTTCAGTATATAGATTGAATTGAGAAGAACTGGCAAGAAACTCAATTGATTTACTTTTTTTGTCCATAGTCTGAATGTAACTTTTGGGCGAATTTCAACCACTAGTTCTTTTTAATAATTGAGTACAGTACTACAAAGTACTAAAAAGTAAAAGTACTAGTAAAGTAGTACTTCAAAGCAGGGATTATGGATATGAAATTTCGGATACGGATAGGTTTCAGATATAGGTAGGATATTTCGGATATAGGATTATGATATCGGATACGGATACGGATGCGGATATGAAAGTAAAATAATTTCAAATAATCGCTAATAAAATTATGTAACCAATAACGTGTCTCAATTAGGCTCCACCCATATCCGATATTGTCCGAAACTTTTATTTCGGATTCGGTTACGGATATTTTTTCTAATATCGGATATCCGATGGTTTTGGGTACGGTTACGGATCTCCTTCACATCCCTTTTTTTTATTTTTTTATACCACGTAGGTGGCAAACAATAAAGTGATTAAATTTGTTTATTTCTTATAAGTATCACAATATGTTACATATAGACATATATTTTGTTGTCACCTTGCAAGAGTTTTATATTTTCCACCCAATTCACACTCGCTTGCAGCTAGTGATACAGCGTAATAAGGATATTCACTTTGTATATATATATATCAAATTTGTTCCAATTTTGTTATACTATATCGGATGTATTCGATGTTTAGCAAAGAAATCGTATTCGATATTATTAGAAAGATGGAAAGCAACAAAGTAAGAATATTTTGAATTAATGTCAAAATATAGATAATATCTCAGAACAATTCACACAGCGCCATCTAGTCCCAAGCTAAGCAGAGCTTGTGTTATGGGTACTAGACAACTGATATAAATATATACATTTTTTTGTAAATTAATACATATTATACATAGAAAACACCCAGACCGATACAAACAATCATACTCACGAATAAGCAAGGAATCGAACCCACGACCATCGGATAGTAAAGCGGTGTACTAAACCATCAAACCAGGCGCTCGTCAGACTGTCACATAGTTCATTAATCGTCAGTATTGATGTACTGCATCGAAGTTCGTTGGTTATAATACGAGCCCCTAAATCCAATCAACCGACAACGTGTATCTAGTCATCACAAAGCACGTTTGAGACCTGTTGTACCGACGTGACCGACATAAACAATCATAAGTACCGCGCAAGGAATCGAACCCACGACCATCGGATAGTAAAGCGGTGTGCTAAACCACTAGATCACCGAGGCTGTCATATATTAAAAGTGTAAAATCAATCCAGCCAATATTATCAACAGATATATCTATATCGATATATTGTTAAAAATCTTAGTCGTAGGGACAATGGTGCCCCACGCCTAAATATTTTTTTTATATATAATATGATTTGGTATAAAAAATACAAACAAATTTTCACCATTCATAACAAACTCCTGTTTTTTAATAGCGATATTAGTATAACATTTATATGATAAAGCATTTGCCGGGACAGCTAGTATCGATATATTATTCAAGTGAACACCCCTACAATCTATATATATAAATAAAACTGGACTATCTGTTTGTAATATTGAAATAACCGTTTTTTACTACATGTATGTGAATGTAAATACTGTACGTTCACCAAAATAACATTTATTTCAAATTTTGTCTATTTGTTATGGCTAATCTCTGAAATGGCTAGACCGATTGTGACGGGACTTTTTTTGGCAGGTAGCTGATATGTAATAAATCGTAAATTAAGCTACTTTTATTTTAGAAAAATAAAGTTACATATCACGCGGGCGAAGTGCGAGTACAGCTAGTACATGAATATAGTTCTACGTACCCAACCACATCGACTAGTACTAGTTTCGTATAAAACCACAAGACACTAATTCTACAAATCAGAGGATTAATTAAACTAATATTGAGTCGATTATAGCGCGCTGAAACATTCCATCAATAATCAAATACTGTTGTGGGGTCCCAATATTTAACCATTGTAATTTCAATCGCAGAATATTATTTTCTCAATGTTATCCGATTTATTCGCTCCAAGTTATGGTCTTAACTTGTTTTATTACAAATAAACAAGTCATAACTTTCCTTAATAGTTGTGACATTAGCTCCGATTCCGTATTGATTCAATCTATTGTTTTATTACAGCGGACTAACGCAGCGTTCCTTTTATCAGTTCAATATCTGAAGTGAATCATTAAGTGTTGAGTTGGATTTAGATTAGAGATGAAACGGATTGCTGTTTGGCCGGATACCGGATATTCGGCCAACCATGTGACCGAATAACCGGATATCCGGCCGAAATAGCTAACTAATAAATTAATTTTCTTTCTATAACAGTCATTTACTATTGTGTGATTAAATATTTAAAACTAAAACTAATTTTATTCCTTAAGTAATAATAAGACTAACTGAATAAAGCAAATAATTACTTAAAAAAATTTTTTTTTACCCAGATTTTTTTTTAATTCGTATGCCTATCCAGCCGAAAAGTAGTTATCCGGTATTCGGCCAGATAGTATTAAGACTGCCGGATAGGCCGGTTACCGGATAGTTACCGGATATCCGTTTTATCTCTAATTTAGATCTCGTCGTCTCGTTTTTTTTTTTATTTGAATAGCTAACAAGAAGGTATGTAACGTGTAAACATGAAATACCTAACGCGGCAGAGCAACGTTCGTTCTTCAATCGCGTTTCATTTGTTATCTATGTTTCCAAAATTCGATATTTCTGTCGTCCAGAATTGAACTCATTATCGGTATAAGTCTAGGTAGTTAAGCGCTAAGCTTCAGAATTTTCAAATTATGTAACTTGGTAATTTTGTATCCTTACAATAAACGCTATTAACAAAGTTCGACTATAATTAATTTATATTATAAGTTTAATCATTATTACGGTTCTTTGAGGTCGTTGTCTTCGCCGGCGAGGACGGTGTCGTGTGTGTGTGTATGAAATGTGTGAATGGGGTCGTTAGGATCAATAAGAAGGTACCTAGGGCAACGCCGTCGCATATAGCTGCCACACCGACCACGGCAATGTACCTGTCCCATCTACACTACGCCACTAAGTAGCAGGATATTGTCGATTATATACGAACCAAGAAATGACGGCATTCTGCCACGATAGCCATGGCAGGTTGCCATCATCAGTGCCGTGACCACACAGACAATATATATTAATTATAAAATATTATTTTATACTAGCTATTCCCGCGACATTGTCCGCGTGGAATTTAACTTTAATTTTCTAAAATAAAAGTAGCCTAAGTTACTCCTTATTACATCAGCTACCTGCCAAAAAAGTCCCGTCAAAATCGGACCAGCCATTACAAAGATTATCCAGAACAAACATACAGACAAAAATTGTACAAAAATGTTATTTTGGTGTATGTAGGTACTATATTTATATTCATATATGCATCTAGTAAAAGTTATTTTAATATTACAAATAGACACTCCAATTTTATTTATACGTATGTTAGTTTATAAGGTATTTATAATATGGGCCTTGTGCCTGTAATAATAGAGTCTATAATAGACCTACATGGATGAAGATATTTTGAGTTTGAATTCTATTGTATAGGGGTCCGCGGTGGCGTCCGTGGCTGTAGACCCCAGTGGGAGGCTGCTGGTGTCCGGCCACGACGACGGCTCCTGTGATCTACACGACGTGCGCGGATCGAGAGCGCTGCAGCGCTTCACGCCGCACTCCGGTGACATCAGGAGTGTGCGCTTCTCACCTGGCGCTTACTATCTCCTCACCGCTGGATACGATGGAAGGGTCGTGCTCACAGATTTACAAGGTAATATATTTTATTCTTAAAAATCACGGTAATTTTCATCAACAATATTTTTTGTCTATCATCACCTGCTGCTTCCTTATCCCATTTATTTGTGGTCGGCGTAATGTTTTTCTCTTCCATTCATCCCTGTTCGCAGTCATCAGTAATGAGATGACTGCGAACAGGGATGACTGGAAGAGAAAAACATTACGCCGACTCCCTTTCTTACCATATCATCTTTCACACAGTCCATCTCTGTTTCTTCCTCTGCCCTTATAACCATCCACATTCATATGTAACATCTTCCTTAGATAGATACATAGATAATTTCTTTACTTCAATATTTACAACAGTAGTACAAATGTTCGCCTCATATTCAGGGAGCATGCAAATTACAATTCATAACAATTACCTTTACAATTAAATTACATTATAAATAAGAATATCAGATGTCAGGTCAATTCCGGCAAAGAGTAACGTTTTTTAACGAGCCAGTGTAATTCTTGTTTAAATCTATATAACTTAAAATATTATCTATTTCTTTATTCCAACGCATTACATGCCCATATCACTGTATATGATAGTCTATACTATGTTAATTAATTATAATATAAATTGTTTGCTTGTAAAGGGTATTCTCTGGATTAAAAAACAGATTTTAAAAAGTCTTTCATCATATATATCATCATTACATAGTTATAAAATTAAATCGTATCGGCTGTCTGTTCACTTAGAACTTTTATACTACGCAACGAATTTAATGCAGTTTTTAGCAATAGGTAGAGTGATCCAAGAGGAAGTTTTATATGTATAATAATATATGTATACCCGTGCGAAGCCGGAGCAGGTAATTAGTTTATCACGCTGCGGCCATTAGCAACTGATATAAAGTGTTGCACATACTGGGAAAACTAATTTATTTGGGAATAGGTAGGGAAAAAATTAAAGTTAATACAAAAAACTTAACGTCCATAAGTGGCTAAAATGTGCTACATAATTTTTGATTTGATTTGATTTGAAAGAAAAAATAGTGATGATATATTTAGATGATAATAATGTTAATGACTGATAGGGTACTCTAGTGCGGGATGAAAGCGTATCAGGTTCAGATAGAACTGAATTACAAGAATCATAATTATTAATTATAATTTCCATGGGTACCTTGATAGCAAAGGGGCCAATGGGTCTCTTACAACAATAATAGAAATATAGAAATAGAAAATCATTTATTCAAATAAACTTACATTGAAGCACTTTTGAATAGTCATTACATTTTTTTTAAACTACCGCTCGTTCGGAAAGCTGTATCATCACAAGAAGAACGAGCAAGAAACTTGCGTGTTCCTCTTTTAAATAATTTTATTATAATAATTAAATAATTTTATATATAATACTAATCTCAGGACAATTCACACAGCGCCATCTAGACCCAAGTTAAGCCAGCTAAAGCTTGTGTTATAGGTACTAGACAACTGATACAAATACATAGATATATATTTTTTCGTAAATAGAAACGTATTATACACAGAAAACACCCAGACCGATACAAATAATCAAACTCATGAATACAAATATTTGTGCCGTGCGAGGAATCGAACCCGCGACTATCGGAGGTAAGGCGGTGCTACAGCACTACACCACCGAGGCCGTCGTATATAATAGTCATTCTTCAAAGAATAAGACCCTATTACAATAGAGGGCTACATATTCAGATTGAAAGTATTCCACCCGCACGCAATTCACAATACTCTACCAATAGCTCGAAAAAGGTTTATTTATCACCTGATTGAAAGAAATCCCGTTTCACATGTGAAATGTGAACTGATTTTGCTGATTATTTTTGTAAATCATACCGTTTACGTTTACGACATAACCATGTGCTAATATAGCTTATTAGAACTCGTTTTTTTTTGTAATATAAATATATATTATATGATAGCTACACTCGATGTTTTACCCGCGGTTTTTTTGGGTATATGTTATTCTGATGTATCGTTACATAGTATAAAACAAAGTCGCGGTCGCTGTCTGTCCGTCCTTAAAAAAACGTTTTTTTTAATAGATAGAATGATTCCGGAGGACGGATTATATGTATTACATCTACATCTACACCTAGGCGAAGCCGCGGCTAGTAGCTAGTACGCTATATTACTGTAAAGTTTCATCAAAATAAGTTCAGTAGTTTTTGCGTGAAAGTGTAACAAACATCCATCTATAATCACTAACTTCTGCGTTTATAATTTTAATAATATTTATTTTACTTAGAGCCAGTAAAAGTTAGTATATAGTAATAATGTATACAAATCGATCAGAAAAATTATTAAATTCATCTTAACGCCAAAATATCTCATTGTAGCTTGCTGCGCACATCATGGTCCATGGTGCTCTTAATAATATTATGTTAACCATTATTGTAACACTATGGAATGCAAATGTATAAATATATAAATAAATAAATACTTTTTTTATATTTTATATATGTAGTATCATCAACTGCTTCTTTTTATTATCATAAATAATAATATACTAAATTGCAAGTAGGTGATTCACCTAGCTTTATTTAATTATGACGCACGAGTTTCAATATTAGTCGCAAAGTTACAATATAACCATTCAACTAGTTCTATGTCAATTAATATTATAAATAAACTATCTGTCCCGGCAAACGTTGTTTTGCCATATAAATTAATAACGCTATCAAAAAATAGGGGTTGGTGATAGAAGGGTGAAAATTTTGGGTTGTATATATTTTTCAATCAATCAATCCTAAATAATAAAATAAAAATAAAATGTTATGTCGAAAAAATAAATAAAACATATTTAGGGTTGGATATCCCTTACCACGTAGGGTTATGAAAAATAGATAGTAGCCGATTATAAGACCTACTAAATACAAATATAAAGTTTCATAAAAATCGATCAAGCCGTTTGGAAGGAGTATGGTAACTAACATTGTGACACGAGAATGTTATATATAAGATAAATTTATTTTGACGTATGTGTTTTTAATTTAGTAATAATAATTTTGTAATTAACATCGTAATGGTGCTCTACTCGGAAATGAGTCGTAAAACTAAAACATTTTGTTTTAAAACGTATATGACATTCAGAGTTTGAATATAATTTAGATAACATAGTATAAATTTTAAACATATTGTATAATAATATATTGAATAATCATTGAAATAGATATTGTATTATTGAGACACAGAAGGGTTAAAATCTCATGAACAGAGACACAGGATCGCTGGTTTTGGTTTTTTGTTTTTTTATAACACAGGGGACAAACGAGCATGCGGCTCACCTCATGGTAAGTGATTACCGCCGCCCATGAGCACCCGTAACACCAGGGGAATTTCTAGTACGTTGTTGGCCTTTTAAAAAGAAATAAGCTCTTTTCTTGAAAGTTTCAATATCGTATCGGTTCGGAAATACCATTGCTGGAAGGTGATTCCATAATGTGGTTGTGCGAGGCAAAAAGTTTCTAGAAAACCGTACTGTGGAAGACCGCCATTCATCCAGATAATCAGGATGGTATTTCAGTTTCTGGCGGATGGTACGGTGGTGAAACTCAGCAGCTGGTATTAATCCGAACAATTCCTCAGAACACTCCCCGTGATATATGCGGTAGATGTTTAAAATAATGTAGTTCGATTTGCATACAGTTTTTTTTTATAAAATACTAGCTTCCCACCTCGGCTTCGCACGGGTGTACATGTACTATACATTATCCTATCACTCTATCTATTAAAAAAAAAACCGCTTCAAAATCCGTTGCGTAGTTTTAAAGATTTATACATACATAGAGGCAGACAGCGACGGCATCTTTGTTTTATTCTATGTAATAATGAAGATATTAAATATAGTAATATCAATATTCATAATTTGGTAAGTTTTGTATATCTTTATGTAGTATAAAACAAAGTTGCTTCCGCCGTTTGTTCGTTTAGATGTTTTGTACTACGTAACGAATTTAATTAAACAATTTTTAACAGTAGATAGTTTTTTTTTTCGGACTACTCTAATGCTGTTGGCCGCAGCTGGCCTTACAGATTCACCGGACGATAGGGGGCGAGTGCAGATGGCACTCCAAACCAAAGAAAGGACTTATGGAGCGGCTGAAGGCCAACTCCCGCCTGACGAATACTACTTTAGTCTGAGGGCACCACTAGGGGTTCGAATCTCGGCTCAGGCCGTCGTAATATCGATCTCCGTTTGAATTGGACGGGGGATCGATCGGAGGGGAGAGAGGTCGATGTACATGTTTTATTTTTAAGTGAATCCGTGGCCTTATTAATGGAACTTGCAGACCTTAGACTTGACTGTTGAACATTATGGAGGCATATCTTATAAGAGGCTTGTCGAGTATAAATGAGTTACAATCACATAACACTTTTTAAATTTTTGTCTTTTAGATTTGTAGAGTTGTAATATTATAGATGCACATCAATGAGACATTTACATTACATTACAGTCGTAATCTTGGTAATTCTAATTTATGTCCATTTCGTATCTAATAGATTATATCATAACCGATTCATATAAAATATAAAGTTGAAAATATAGAAAGAAAGAAAACATAAAGTTAAAAGAGTAATATGTGTTTTTTACATAATCTGCATATGCTAAGTCGATATTTGTAATAAATAGTATAATAAATATAACAGACTATTCAAAACAGTTTGTATTAAGTTTCTTTGATAGACATTTGGAACATATTTTTACGATGTTTTGATTGATGAAGTCGAATTATGTAATTGTAATATACAATGAGAAAGAGGGGTCTCTGTGATCTAACCACGAGAAAGCAAATTTCAATTAACATATTAAGAATATTGTAGCTTCTTAAAATGTGGCATTTAAACCTGTTATAGATAATTTATATGCATTTATTTGCATATTAAAGTATTATTATAGTACATTACGATATAAGTGAGTTATAACAAACGAGAGCGTAATAGAGCAGAGTGTTTTTCAACACACTTGCGAGAAAACAGAATACAAAATAATGACGCTACACTTTGTTTGTTTTTAACTGCGATGCCCACTATCGCTTTCTCGACGTTTTACTTTTTTAAATTAGCATGCTGAGCATATGCATTCTGCTTAATGAAATTATATTTGTAATGTATGTTAATGTCAGTAATATTTGCTAAAAAGAAGAACCAAAATAGATGAGAATTCGCTATCCACACAGATTTAATATAAAGTCTAATTCAGAATTTTTAATTTTCAATTACAAATCGTTTACGATTATATTATACTAGCTGTAGCGGTTTCAGCTGAGTGAAAATTATAGCCTATATGCCATTCTGATGTATAAGCTATATTACTGTAAAGTTTCATCAAAATCCGTTCAGTAGTTTTTGCGTGACAGAGTAACAAATATCAATCCATACAAACTTTCGCGTTTGTAATATTACTAGCGACCCGCCCGGCTTCGCACGGGTGCAATGTTGATACTAAACATACCTAATTACCTAAATTTATTAATGTTTCTCTACAATATATATGACGACTTCGGTGGTCTAGCGGTCTAGCATACCGCTTTACGACCGATGGTCGCGGGTTCGATTCCTCGCGCGGCACAAACATTTGTATTCATGAGTATGATTGTTTGTATCGGTCTGGGTATTTTCTATGTATAATATGTATGTATTTACGAAAAAAAAAATTATCTATGTATTTGTATCAGTTGTCTAGGACCCATAATACAAGCTTTAGCTAGCTTAACTTGGGTCTAGATGGCGCTGTGTGAATTGTCCTGAGATTATTATTATTATTATAATATTATGCATGTATTAAACATATAAACGTATCTCTTGAATCACTCTATCTTTTAAAAAAATCCGCTTCGAAATCCGTTGAAAGAATTAAGCCTACATAGCGAAGGTCGGACAACGACAGCGACTTTGTTTTATATTATATAGTGATTTGAATCTTTTTACAAGCAGATTTAGAACAGATTCTGGTAGTTTATTGTAAAACTTTACCAGAAAACGAATTACTAACTTTATATAAACATTTAGGTAATAATAATAATAACTCAGGACAATTAACACAGCGCCATCTAGTCCCAAGCTAAGCAGAGCTTGTGTTATGGGTACTAGACAACTGATATAAATACATGGATACATTATTTTTTTTTAAATAAATACATATTGTACATAGAAAACACCCAGACCGATACAAACAATCATACTCATGAATACAAATGTTTGTACCGTGCGAGGAATCGAACCCGCGATCATCGGATAGTAAAGCGGTGTGCTAAACCACTAGACCACCGAGGCTGTCAAATGTCATGTTAACGTATTTTTATTATTTCAACAGGTGATCTACATTATTGTTTTGTAAATAAATACATATTATACATAGAAAACACCCAGACCGATACAAACAATCATACTCATGAATACAAATGTTTGTACCGTGCGAGGAATCGAACCCGCGACCATCGGATAGTAAAGCGGTGTGCTAAACCACTAGACCAGCGAGGCTGTCAAATGTATACATGTATACATGTTAACGTATTTTTATTATTTCAACAGGTGATCTAACTTGTCCGCTGCCGAGCGTGCCCGTAGCCCGACATCCGGATAAAGTAATATCTGCAAGATGGCACCCCGATGACTTCTCGTTCCTGTCCACGTCGGCCGACAAGACGGCCGTATTGTGGACCATACCGCCCATTTAGTTCGGTAAACTATCAACACCATACATACATACACAGGGTTACTGATAAGTCGACCTATTCCCGTTAATGGAGTAGATTTTACATCATTTCTAACAGATTTCACTATGAGAGACACTATCGTGGTTGAGTGGAATGAGTAGTCATGCTCACTAAAATCTGAATCTGTGGTGGGCCGGTTCATTGGGCTCTCTAAAATATGGCCGAGCGCAATGATGACTGGCTCATCCGTCATACTCGTGAACGAGTGCTGCTTATATAGACTGGTCTGCTCTTATCACTACGACTGATTTAATCTTATTTTGTTTTTATATTTTGCTAGTTGGTAGTTTGTTTTCACACGTTTCGACCTGTAAAATGTCAACTTAGAAGGATTATTTAAAAGAGCAACACACAAGTTTGTTGCTGGTTGTTCTTGTGATGAAAGCTTTCCGAATGAGCGGTAGATTAAAAAAATTGTTATAACTATTCAAATGTGCTTAAATTAAGTTTATTTGAATAAATGATTTTCTATTCTATTCTATTCTATCCTATATCTAACCGTTTTTAAGATATTTGAATTTAATTGTTTCTTACAAATAAGTTTCGATGTTCGTTTGTTAGCTTAGATATTTTAAAATCAGTAAGTTTTAATGTCACTATTATTTGATCTTTACATGCAAATTAAGATGCTCTATCACCTTAATAAATAAGTGGTTCTAGATCCCTAAAAAAAAATATTTTTTATCTAATTCTAATGTCTCGATGACGGTTAGATATAGTATAGGGTGTCTCATAGCGAAATCTGTCAGAAATGATGTAAATTATACACCCTTAAGGGGAATAGGTCGACGGATCCGGTAACGTATATATTAATCATATATTTTATAGTGAAGTGAATGAAATGACGCAAAAACTCATACATTCCTATTTGTTTCTGTTTTGATAATTTACCCATAAGTTGGGTATTTATATTTAGATATACTGTTTTGATGTATTGTATATATATATACGACTTATATATCACAAAAATTAAGAAATGGTATTAATAAATATGCACAAATATATACTGTAAGTCGTGTACTGTATTAAATTTGACGAAGTCATTATTTACGCTCAATTAGAAGAATCGCGGGATCTTATCACATTTATTTATAATTATACCGTATCCTGTGATCATGGCGGTTTAGTCACTGTCGAAATATCGGGAACTCATCCCGATATTTCGATAGTGACTAAACTGCCATGTTTACGAGTAAATTAAATAGCAGCAGGTAGATGGTGAATAAAAAGTTAAAAATGTATGGTCAGACATATTCGTCTCTCTTCACACGTCTTAGTTGGTTCATGCTCTACAGTTTTCCCGTGGCTGATGAAAGTTCATCGAAATATCGGGAACACAATAAAAATAAATAAAACATGGTAACATCCCGTGATTTTTCCTAATGGTACGTATATAGTAAGTTAATTTTATGATAAGAAAATATCATATGTAAAAGTCAAGCTTAATAACCGAGGATTTTTAGTTTTGCGTTGTTTCATTAATTTGTGTAAGTTTAATTGCTATGCCAATGTAGATTTTATATATACAGATGAATCAAATAAAATGGTTGCTTAGTTTTCCTTACGCCTGGATCCGTGCAGGGTAGGCAGACAAAACTGCGTTCCAAAAATATAATTAAACTTGACACAGTTTCAATAAGAATAACTAACAAGGATTAGTTAAGTCTGTTTTGATACAAAGTTGTATATACATATGTATGTCAAGATATCGAACAAGTAAAGCAAATTCAATAATAATATTAAATACACGCAGAAAAATACTTATACATTTGTAGAAATTATCATATACCGAATAAACAAGTACACTAATGAACAATTTACAATGCAAAATATTTTTTACGAGAGGGATAGGTATATACGTTATCTACAAGTGCGAGTGCGATGACAGCTAATGAAATTTGGCCGCACATGTCCCCTCCTGGTCAGTAAATATTTTTTTAACATGGCAATTCTCAATAGGGATACCAGCGGGTGTAAGTGCAACGAGCGAGTTTTTAGTTAAAGGGATGTTGGTTTTATAGTTTTCTTTATAATTAAAGAAAATATATAATTTTCGTACGCCGTGTCCCTAATCTATTGTTAATGAATTCATATACATATATATATGTAATTTTGGCAATAATAATAACTTTAAAAGATTGGTACAAATATTAAAACCTTTATTTGGAATAGCAATTAAACTTATTCGTGACACATACTTTTATATGCAATGTGAAGATCACATTTGTAAATATACACTATGATTTTAATGTTAAAAACACGACATACGTAATTCCATGTAATAAGACATGTTTTTTTAATATTAAATTATATATGAATGTGTTTATAACGTTCAATTTGTATGCGTTTAATTACTTGAAAAAAAAATACCGAATGTTTTTTTTTAGTAATAATTATCACAATAATTTACTTAATTTACTACTCGTGTAACATGTCTAAATTATTAAATGATTTAAAATAAAATGGCTAAACGATTAAATTATTTATAAATGATTTAATTAAATGAAAAATTAATAAAATATAATAAAAAAAGTTGTAATAACATTTCGATAGTGTAAGTTACTATAATTATATAATTTTCGCTTCTGTAAATAACGTTACTTTTATATAAAATAATTATATAAGTTATATTTATCGATTCAAAGAATTTGTATTGTTTCTTAAACAAAATTCGATATCTGTTCTAAGTGTTACAAGGTGCCGAAGAATGTTCGTGAGCTCGCATAGAGACTCACGGATATTTTTTTTGTAACAACTATTTATTTATTTCACATTTCTCGAATATATCTTCTGTTAAGAGCGCAAACTTCTGTCATCTTTGGTTCTTTATTTACCCGTAGATATTTAATATTATTGGTGTTTAATTTAGATTTTATTGTACCATATGTAATGATTTTACATATATGTCTATCTTATTTTATATTCAATGGAGATAGCGTAGTTGTTTGTGCTTTATTGTTGATACCTATACTAGAAATAGTTTTTTATGCGATTGCACCGACGCAAAAGCGCGTGACGAGAGAAATTGTATTTTTTTATTGAAACAAGCTTAAAGATATATAACAAATATATATATATGTAATAAAAATGTTTTATCACTAATTTAGTTTAATAATAAACGAGTTTGTCACCGTGACTTCTGAGCTTCTACAAACCATTTATCCAAACGAGAGCTTTATATTTTTAATCTTTTAAGAACTGATTCGATGCCTCTATGCGATTGACTGATATGGAAATTGAAACAAAATACAATACGAGTGATATGCTACAGTCCAGTGATATTTTTGTTGTCACAAAATAATTTGTAGGTATATTTATGATCAGACTACGTTGTATATTAACGGGATGGACAGAGTTTTGTACCAGACATTTTAATATATCGCCAGTTTTCGACTAGTGTGATTATATTATGAACCCGTTATCATCATTACATAGTATAAAATAAAGTCGCTGTCGCTGTCTGTCCTTATGTATGGTTATGCAACGGATTTTTAAGCGGTTTTTTTAGAGGAATACTTTTTTTAGTTTATATATGTAATACATGTGCACCCGGGCGAAGCCGGGGCGAGTAGATAGTATATATATATATATGTATAGTATGGACTAAAGTATTAAAAACATACAAGTTTTAGTACTTTGGTGATTTACCGGTGTACTCGTTTTTCGATAAATACAACATTTTACAATCGCATTAGTTGCAAATTGGCGTTAAATATGTATTTACTTATTTATTTCCTATTTATAGTACTTAATAATCAGTTGATCGATAGCCACGGTGGTCTAGCGGTTTAGCACGCCGTTTTACAGCCGATAGTTGCAGGTTCGATTCCTAGCATGGTACAAACATTTGTATTCATACTTATTATTGTTTGTATCGGTCTGGGTATTTTCTATGTATATTTAAGTATCTACAATAAAAAGTGTATTATATTCATCACATGTCTAGTACCCGTAACACAGATTCTGCTTACCGTGCCACTAGATGGAGCTGTGTGAATAGTCCAGGGTTCTTATTATAATATATTAATAATCATTTATTAATCGACAACGTATTTGTAAACAAGGGTGCAATTTTAAAGTAACTTTTGTTCCGTATAGCACTATAACACATATACACAAAAATTGTATCTTAAGTGAACTATTATCGATCGTGTAGGAAAGAAAACATAGAATAAATGTATATAGCTGGTAATCTATACAATAATTCCATTGATTTATTAATTGATTTGCAATTTAGATGTTTTATAAAGGAATATATATCAAATTGTACAACCAATTTGTCTTTCCATTTAGCGGAACATAAAATGACATGAAAACGAAGCTGTATATATATTCATGTTTTTTTTTCAAAAGTATATATTTTTTTTTTATTTCTTTTTAAATTTTGGACTTTTGTACCATCTAAGTACATGTCGGTATATAATTATATTTCATTTTTAACATATGATATTGATACAACAGTCCATTTTGGTCATACGTACCTCATTTACACGAATCTCCGTAGATGTTTTTGTATTTTTATAAATAGCAATAGTGAAACTTGTGTGTTATGTTCTTTCGAATTAAATGTGCTTAAAGATATTTCAAGTAGTAATAGGTTGTCTGTGACTAATGTGTCTTGCCTAATTATTATATTCGATGCTTTATAAACAGAGCATTATAAAATCTGTTAACACTACTTGAAGAATATGAATATCTAATTGTTATATTAAAATAAAGACGCCACCGCTATACGCTTATATCTTTTAAATTATGCAACGGATTTTAATGCAGTTTTCAGCAATAGATAGAGTGATTCAAGAGGAACGTTTATATGTATAATACATGCGTATTATTTTATAGGATTTTAAGAAAGATAAATTCAAAGATTTGAAAGATGTAGTGCGAAATTTCTGCGTATACAATTAGGTTTTAATCGACATTTTAATTATTTTGTTAATAAATTGAATTATATAATATTTTAACGATTAATAGCTAATATAAAGAAATAAAAGTGTATAATTTAATAATAAAGTGATAATTACTCTGAACAAATTTAATAATACATGTATAATATATATTATTGTAAGTATAATCTATACATATAAATAAAATTGGAGTAATATTGAAGTAACCGT